AGTTTGTGACCTGTTGAACCACGACTTTTAGCCCACTGTGATAGTCTTGAACTCATCAGAGGATTTATAGCGAGTAACTATGTGCTGAGAGTCCACCTATCTCGCTCTATCCTTTCATATACCCCAGTTGACTGTGCGAATTGGTCAGCCAACTTATTCAGAGATTGGGCGAGATGTCTGAGAGAGCTGAGGACTACTCGTCTACGCAGGTCAAATACACGACCTGCCCCATGCGCACACATTAGGATTTTGCTGGCGGGCGTCTCGGATGTCAGAAGCAGTAGAAGGCCTACATCAAGAATGAGCCGACAAACACACTTTCCACCCACGTAAAAGGCGTCCATGATGTGTCAAGTTGAAGATGCGTATGTGTGGTGCATATATTGATGGGGTAATGCCTATCAATGCAATTAAGTCTACGAGGATTTGACACACGGTTTCGTGGACGTGCTTGTGACCGAGCAGACCCATGCGACAGCTGAATGCGCAAGGGCAATGAGAGCGACTGAGACAATGATAGTGCTTCAAGCACTGTTTTTTGCCAGTCTTTGCGTCGCGGTTTCGCAAGAGACCCGCCGGGTCGACGAGTGGGGAAAATCTGTGCGGTGGCAGTGCGGGTGGAGGAGGTCGGGAGATGCTGAGTCAGTCGGGGTTATTATGCTGCTAGTTACGGCCGCGCTGGCGGATGGGAAGTTGATTGAACCGGGGATGGGAGAGTTGGTGAATTTGCAAGGTACGCTAGGTGTGTCCTTACTGTGGTGAACTCCGCTGTTGTGGATGCGGTGAGTTAATGCTTGTAGACAGTGCTGACAGCGGAAGCAGATAAGGCAAGTGTATATGTGGCTCCTGGCACAGCTAATGACTTACCGGATTGATGCTTCAGGTGAATGCGTGATCGTAATGAGGACAAGTTGGAACCGACTCTATACCTTTGGTGGTGGGGACGAGGATGTTGAGGTTGGTGAGGTTCCGGGCGTGTTCTGACCGCTGACGGTAGTGGGAGTGTTGGTAGTCGTCGCCGTCATCACGGGTGATGGAGGCAAAAATGATTGAGATGCCGATGATTGATGACGGCTGGACATCGTGCCTATGGTCATCGGCGGCGGGGGTAATCATCGCTGTGGGCTCCGTGGGTGTTGGAGCAGTTGCTGTTGGGAAGGCAGAAGTTGGGTCCTCGAAATGCTCCCTATGTTCAAACTCGATGCAAATCGGGAACTCAAAGCCGACAAAGATCTCGTTGTTTGGTGCGATACTGTTGACCCTCAACAGAGCGTTTCATCATGGATGCCCCATCTGGGTGGCATGGTAACCGTGACGCACATTGATATTGAACAATTCAGTGATTGATAGAGGGACGCTAACCGATCGCGCTGCGGTGCCTTGGGACTTAATCTAAAGTCTCTCAGCGGCACGTAATATAGACAGTCGCTAAGGACAAGAAAAACTGGAATGACTATTTTTGCGTTGTCGGGTGTCGTCAGCCCGTCATGCCTAATTCTGGGGTGTGCAACCCCTGGGGTTCAATGCCACCACCTGTTGGTTAGAGGTCCACTGCTCTAACCGTTGAGTCACGCGTTCGCCGTCCTGTCGGTCTTGATCGGGAATATGCAATGGTAGAGGTGTGCTCGCCGATCGCGTTACGGAACTCATTCGTCCCGTTGTGCCCTGGGGCTCTCTCTCGAACCCCAAGACCTGCTCGTGTAAGGGGAACATGCAGACGAAGTCATTAGCTATGCCATCCGCTGCGCTCATTCAGCGCCAAATTGACTCATCGGCTCGGACAGTGGCTGAGGCCTGCAGGCAGAAATAGAGAGTAGAGTCGATGACTCAGCGTATTCGCCCTAGCATAAACAATCTGACGCGCTGGAAGATATTACGATGAGCTAAAAGCCGCGGCTTGAAAGGTTACCAACTGCCGGGATTGCTCCGATTTAGCATCAGTTCGGCGTATGTTTGTGTGGAAAGTCAGACCGGTGGACTGATATTCAGACTGCAAAGGTACTCTCTGTCGCCCTCCCGTCAAGTGGATTCGAGCGAACCCACACTTTTCTTGTTGTGTGTGAAATACTGATCAAGGTTTTGCTACGGAGACGGTGGTGTGTTGTAACACCTCGCTGTGGGTTTCTCTTGCACATTTTCCCGCTTCCGCTCTTCTTGCACATGTCTTGATATGGGACACAGATGGGGAATTAGGAGAAAGTGAGGTAGATGCATTGCAAGCCTTCTACCACTATAAAGTAATTCCCGCGCAAGTCACCATCCCTGCTCCCTCTACATTGCATATTACACGTTTGACTTTGCCGAAATCGACGGTTGGACTGTCAGGGTAGGCAGAATGTCATCCCCAACAGGATATTACCAGTCACTCTTTTTATTTCAGTAATGTTCTATTAATTCCCTGTCTAGCTGCGGACGGACGTGACTTATGTATACGCATACACTATCCGCTAACAAAAAGACAACAACTGCCAGTTAGTGGCGTGGGGAGAAAATTTCGTGCCGCCAACATCTGGGCTGCTTTTGGTCTGTCCGGAGAATGCTGTCAACATAATTTTTGACCTGCTTGGACAGTCAGCTTCCCGTATCAGATTTGGCGGATTCCAGATGTTGTAGTAGGTCAGGCGGGCATCTGCACCCAAATGTGATTAAACTCGCGTCGTCTAGTGTGGCGTCGTAGTTTAAATGGCTGGAGCGTTGACTGTACCAAAGCCTATCCTTGTTGTCCTGGGTTCGAATCCCATCGGAGCACCGGCTTATTAACAGGTAGGATAATATGAATTATTCAGTATCTACCAAAATAATTAGAAATTATCGTTGTCAACGATAAGAAGAGACAGACTTTATCGAGGATGACTACACACTTCAGAAAATGTACAGTTTAGATATCACAAGCACGTCTGCGCAGCCTTTTCCCAACTTTCCTAGCCGTTTAAGAACTTAGAAACCAAAACATGACGGGACTCGGCCATGTTTTCAAGCTTCAGGAGGCCGAAATCCTCCCAAGAGGTGACGACCGCGTGAGCCGCGAGATGCTCGAGTCATGGTCCTCAGGCCCGCATTCCATCAACAAGCGCAGTGACCTCCCGGTACCATATTTCGTGCTGAGATTTTCCCTGGGCGGGTGAATTAGTCAGGTGGGGAGGGCGCGGGTTAGCAAGTATATCAGTGACAGTGAACCAATTTATCGAACGATCGTTACACCAGTATCCATCACGGATGACGCAATGGCAGCCATTAACGACTCGGACGCTAGCTGACAAGCCATAATCGCATCAATTACTACCCCGGAGGTGATTGTGAGAGCTGTTAATTACAGTACGCATAGGGTCTCACTGCAGCCACGTGCTATAAATACTGCGCTTCGTGCGCCGAAATTGTCCATATCTGCGACTGTCTCTGATGATGTGATTGCATGAGAATCCGAACTGTGAGGTCAATAAATTTCTTGTTTCAGTGATCACATCTTTATCTTCTGAGTAAATTTATTGTGTTAATTTTCGAGATTGGTTTTCCAGCTCAATTTTAGACTATAGGAGTGCAAAACCAATTAATTTCTAAACTGAACCTGGCAAAGGACTCTACGATCGGCTAAAATCTGAGGCAATGCCTGCTTATTGCAATTTGTCATTTCCTCGGGATCGATTGACCTCCGAATATGCCTCTTTGCAATAAACTGCTGTGTGAAGTGATTCATCGGTTTTTCGACTTACAGGAGCATCCAGGAATGTGAGTTGTTCATTAACATTTGTTTCGAAAGCAGGCTCGATTCCTAAAAACACGGAGTTGACATTGGCATGGAGCAAAATCTTATTTCCTAACTGTACCTGTAAGGGGTTATGGGTTGGCGTTAGGGTTTAAGGTTCAAGGTTGGGGTCAGGGGTTAAGTGAAGGACCAACCAAAATTTTGAAATGCATTATCGTTTCGAAAAGATAAATTAAGTAGTGTTTTAAAACTAATCATGATGCAGCATACATCTATAATGATCCAGTTACCACAGGGTGTCGGCTCTCGAAAGAACTTATTTTCGGCTGCATGTAAGATCTATACTCTTCAAAAAAAATGACTCCTTAAGAAGCATATAATTTTCTCATTGATTTTCGATGACCATGAAAATTCAATTATATTTCATGGAAAACGTGCATAAAAATATTCATTCGTTTACTTATTCGGTGGAAAATCACGTCTTCTTCTAATTTCATACTCAAAAAAAAGTATAATTCGGCTTTAAAAAGTTTCTAATTGTGAGATTTTTTAATACCATTAAACGGCCGTTCATGAAGCGTCATGTATCTGCATTTACGAATGTAACTTGATAAGTTAACAATTTTGCTCTAACCCAATGCTTAATTTTATGAACCTCATATGGTCACCTCTTAACACCGTAGAGAAATGCATGGATTTCCGTACACTGAAAATATACAGCTTGTAGTTTTGCAACCCTGAATGCAAGTGCAACAGCAGGTCGGGTTCAAAATTATTCGGGAATTCGAAGAGTTTTTTTAAACCGAATTATATTCTTTTTTGAGTATAAAATTAGAAAAATACGTGATTTTCTACCAAATACGTAGAAGAATGAACATTTTTATGCTTGTTTTCCATGAAATATAATTGAATTTTTAAGGGTTTTGAAAATCAATGATAAAACTGCATGGTACGTAAGTAATCCTTTTTTCAGATCGAAGATCTTCCATGCAGCCGAAAATAAGTTTTTTCGAAAACCGAAACCCTGAGGTAACTGGATCATTATAGGTTTATGCTGCATCATGATTAGTTTTACAACACTATTTAATTTATCTTTTCAAAACGAGAACGCATTTTGAAATTTCGGTTGACATTTCATGAGTTAGCACATCTGCTGTACGTTAGTGTCAGAAAACTATTAACGAATTTTCATTGCTGGCGTAAGAGCCTAGAAGTTCGGTTACATTTTAGTGCTCCACTCTCGGAGAACCAATAACACGACAGTCGCGGTCTGCGAACCCACTTTCTTATAATCTACATGACAGTTTGCGCGAACTCCAACGTGGTTTATCGATTACTGTCTGACGAACAGTTATGTGCTACCTTCGCTGTAAAAGCGCGCAGGCAAGGAGAAGATCGCAGTTGGTGGTTTGAAGTACCTGCGGTATTTCGCACTCATAAAATTTCACTCAAATTTAGAAAGTCTGCGCTAATTTACCCTCAAATAACGCAAAGCGCCGTTCAAGGGCAAGTAGGTTTTGTTCGCAATCTTTGTACAAAGTCTGCTTTCATTCTGAATAAGGTTTTTTTCAATCCGAATTCGACAAATAAGACTACTTTTGCAGTCCGCTAAAATAGAGTTTCGGTTCCCATGCATAATGATTCAAAATTTTTTTAGTTGGCTTTATTTTCCTTAGGAAGTGTCAAATAGTTCAGATCGTAGGCAGCCTCTAAGCACTACGACTTTCAGACCAGACCCGACAGGGGGAGAAGATAGACGCCGGTCGAAGGTCTTATGATGCATGGTCTACCATATTGACAAAAGAACCAATAACTGAAAATTCAGACACGTGTTTTGTGGATTAATGTACATTGGCATCTAGTCGGTTCCTTTAATGTCAATATGGTGAGTTAGAAAATATCTAAAAACTGTTCACTGCCGGTTGTTAGACTGGGAGTATTTCGCTTTTATCCTGTTGCGACGGATAGATTTCGGACCCGATAATTATATCAACTGCCTGACCGTGCCCAAGAAATTTACTCCAAGTTTGCACATTGATTTCGGAGGTAATTAGAAAGGCTAAAAATTAAAAGAACATATTTTGTCTGTACAGAATGTTGTAAGCTTGTGTTGTCGATGGAGGAGGGAAACCTTCGAGGGAGTTGGGTAACGGCTTATCCCTAGCGGCCTCGAGGTTAATTGGTCAGTTTGGTTGCATTTTATTAATCAGCTACCACATGCCTCTTCCATGCATACAAAATTAATGTTATACACATGCACAAGTAGCTCACTTGTGTGCCTCTTAAGGCGCTTTGGCCGAGACAAAGGAAATAATTAAGCATTCTTTGGAGGGGGGCATTTTTAAATTTGTAGCTGTGGGTTCAGTCAGAGAAGAGACTAAAAAAGCAAAAGAAGTTTATGGAAAAGTTTTATTTTCAGCATGTGTGTTTTTTACGGGAGTCCATCTTATTTGTTTAAATTTAAATGCAGTTGCTAATTTCTTCTTAAAGATTTCTGCTTGAATGTTTATACATTCTCGAATTCACTGGGTTTGGAAAACTTTTTCGTGTGAACATTTTACTTAAGATCGCATGCATATGAAAGCACTTTCACTAAAATTCACGGGAAATGGTACATAAGAACGACTACTATCTAAGCCCAGAATTCTCTATGCGAATGTTTTACAGCTAATTAAAATGCGCAATGTTTTCGTGGTCCTTTATTATGAAAAGTCGGCACTCAGGAAAGCAACTGTAATGGGTGATTGTTTCACCCACAATCATAAAAAATAGCTCGCGGAATATTCTTAATTAATATCTGATAATTCCAGGTTGGCTAGGCAGAAATATCCGTGTTTTTAGCAAGTTCCTTCGCTCGCAAATATGTTATGCAGCGTAAAAGCCTAAAAAGATTATTCTATCATTGTCGTTTAGGTTCTATGCTTCAATCTCAAGATATCGCTTAGTTAGCATATTGATGTACGTGTCTGAATAGGCAGTTTTGCAACCAAAGAAGAAGGGATATGAGGAATATCAGCCATTAAAGAAAGCAGCTTGCAGAAATTAGCCGCCTAGCTAAATAGAGGTCAAAATAGATCAATTTTGAGTTCTATCCTCGTTTAATTAGTCGACACGTGTCGTCCAATCGATGCCAGAGAGGCTTATCGAGTTGTCTCCCGGATACCAGCAAACTACCCTAGGGGCCTACGTCAGCGAATGTTAGCAATAGCTAAGATGGCGCCTATCGGGTTGACGAATCCACCACTATATTTATAAGCCCCACAATGAAAACCAAAGTATATCCTTACTTCAGATATGAGATTGAAAGAAGACGTAATTTCTACCGAATATGTGATAGAATTAAAAATTTTATACGAGTTTTTTATGATATATAATTGGACTTTTAGGTGTATCAAAAATAAATGGGATAAATTTATGCTTCATAATAAGGCGTTTTTTTATAGAATGTATTTTTGCATGCAGCTGGAAAAAAGTTTACTCGAAAGTCGGCATCCTAAAGTAATTAAAATATTCTGAAATTGTTTTGCAGACTAACTAGTTTTACAACCCTACTTAAGTAATCTTGCCAAAGCGAAAACGTATTTCGGAATTTCGGTTGACATTTCATGCATTAGCATACCCACTGTATGAACCGCTCATAAATCCGACAATGGTCGACAATGGTTTGACGAAGAGTAGCGGACTGTCTAGACGGATTTTCTTGCTTTTTAATTTCCTCATAAATTAACTGCATCCTTGTGTCAGATCAGTTAATGCTACGATCTATAGGCACATACCAAAATGTGGTGTGTGAATATTTAGGCCAACGTCCATCCATTACAGCGGGAAGACGGCAACTATTCATTAACTGCCGACGGGCAGCAAGCAGTATATTTTGGCGTAAGAGGGTACTATATTAACAGTACAGATAATAGCCAAAAGCCCATAGAGGCGTGCCTTGCCAGTATTCTGCCATTGCATGGCACAGCTGCGACACGGTTCGATTCTCCAGTGAGACCCCTAGCATTCACTGTGTGCTTTCTGGTAGCTACTCCATTTTAAGAAATTGTTGCTTTTTAAATTCCTCAGAAACATATTGCTGACTTGGACTAATTTCGCTGGTTTTCCATGGAAGATCGCTCTGCCTGTCAGTACCATGGAGGAGTATTTCAGTTTTCAGCAACTCCCTCAGAACTCCCTTGCGGCGTCGATTTTAAGTCGTCGATGCTCATCACCGATCCCAGCGTCGTGGAATAATGTCGCTTTGGTGGTGACCTAACAATAATTCTACCGATTAGAAAATTTCGTATAAATTACGTTTCCCTCCGCTTATAGATGCGCTGGCTATGCCGGTCGATTACAGCACCCGTTTGTCTTGAGTCGATTCTGGCTGCTTTTGGCCTTCACTGCAATTGGTTAGGTTTCTTCGTCTGTCTCTAATGCATTTGTTAGAGAACGGTGCTGTTGACAACTATTGTCAGGATTGTACGTGTATATATGAAGTACGGGAGAATGAGCAGCGATTCAATGGAATGGACTACTGGACTGCTTCTCAAACTACATTTTAGAGAAACATTATACACCCTAGCCTACAAATCCACTTTATTTTGCCTACCATATAAATCTCGGCTAATTAAGTGTCTGGTCGAAAACACTTTGTGGTTTGAGTCAATATTTTGGAATTCTTGTTGTAAACTACATGTGTGTAAGGATTCGCGTAAGTTTGAGTATTCATTTTAGGAAATAATATACTTAATCTAACGTTGCGCGTTCGAAAGTCACACAAACTTGTACATAGGTTGCAAAAATTGGTCATTTTAATATGTTTTGCATTTAAATCTGCGCCTGACTGGAACATTTTGCGACTTAAATCATAGAAGGCTGCCGAGGAACCTCTGCCTGGATAACAGAGGTTGACCTGGTGCATCTTTTGGCTCAAGGTAATCTTTTTGACTTTTTTTTTATTAAAATCGCTATCTAACAACCGGTTTCATCTGGAGCCTAAAAAGCAAACAGTGAATTCCCGCCAACAAAATCTCGGCAGATACTCATATTCACACCAAATTTTTACACATGATTGTAGTGGAGCGCGGCTGCAGACAGGACTGCTATCTCCCTTCCAACCGCTTGTCATGAATGCTGTACTTCATCCGGCATATCTTAGAGAGAGATTGAACTACGCTCTTCCAATTCTGCATCTCGTGTTGGTGGTAAGTTATGCCTTATAATTCCATTGAATGGCAGCACCAATCAAAAGAGATTTAGTGGTAGGGGTTTCTTACGCTGTCCGAGTTTGTCAATGTCTTCTTACCTTCGTAACATTATTGGTTTAAAAAAAACTGTTAACATTTAGGCCTTTTGGCATCTGCCTACTGTTTTTTGATGTGTCGATATTCATTTGGGCTTTTTATAGGGCTTGGAATCAGTTTGGGGTTAGTGCTGGGCTAACGTTCAGGGTAGGGGTTAAGGGTTAGAGATAAGGTTTAGGCTAAGGTTAAATTTAGGGTAAAGACTAGGGTTAGCCTCAGAAGGGTAAGGTTTAGGTTAATGTTTGGGGTTAGGTTAAATGTCATGGTTAGAATAATGTATGGGGTTAGCTTTAGAAGTATTTTGGGCTTTAAATTAGGTTTGACGTTAGGCTTACGGAGAAGGGCAAATTTTAAGGTTGGGGCTAAGGGTTAGTTAAGGATTGGTGATATGGTAAGGGTTAGGATTAAGGTTGGTTTTAGGGTTTGTGGTAAGGCTTATTATAGTGTTTAGGCTAAGGTTAAGGTTGCTTTAGAATTTCGCCTAGGGCTAGAGTAAGGTTTGATTTCAAGTTTGGGGTTAGTTTTAAGGTAAGGATCAGGTTAAATTTAAGGGTAATGTTCTGGGTTAGGGTTAACACTTAAGGTTAGGTTTAGGGTTTGATTAAAAGTAAATGCCAGGGTTAGGGCCAACCTTAAGCCCAGGTGTAGCGTTAGGTTCAGTGTTAGTAACGGTAGGGGTTACAATTGATTTCGGTTTGGATTGGGTCTATAATTCACTTTTTCTCATCATCTTTTGTCTGCCTTTCCACTTGCGGGTCTCGTCTGCGTTTGCCAATGATTTCAGTTTTGCAACTTTATAGGAATATTATTCAGTTCAATTATGCTACCAGTAAACATTCTCAAACTTTTGTCCACTTACCAACGTTCCGTTATTATTTACTTAACATATGATCATAGCCTTATGTCGTCATTTCCTTACTCCGCCATCGACGTTACTTATCCGTTTGTATCATTGACCTTCGTCAAATGTGCCATTGTTGCCGTTTTCTTATCTTACCATATCATTTTCTGCGTTCGCGTTTACTTTGTCGTTTATTTTACACACTGGCACCCACTTTCTACGGCACGTGCGTCCCTACTGCGTTCTCATTTGTTCAAGGTCAAGTTCAGTGACCTTGGTCGTCAAATTACCTTTCTTTCGGGGTGGAAATTGGTCATTTTAATTTGCTTAGACCTCTTTTCGGATGAAGCGCTCGCCATTTTGGCCTACATTTAAACTAATCACTTTAAGTTTGGGCGATTTTCTACCAAAATACCATCATTGGGTTACTTCTTATGTGTTTGTCATGTGCTCTGCCCATAAAACCCCTATTCCCACCGTTCTGAACTTACCCTTCAGTTTCTGTGACCCGGAAAGCGTAACCGAACCTCGCCGACTGATGTTGCAAAGAGATCGTACATTCGATCGTTTGATACAAGGAGGATTGAAATAGAGCGAATTGCACTTCTCTGTGAAGACGAAGGACCGCTAATTGGCGAGTAGAGGTTGACGACTTGAAGGTTCCAAAATCAGGACGCAGAAAAGACGGTTAGAGGAAAAGATAAACCTAGGCGATATTGTATACACGCATCTCAGCAGGTCAATGCTAGTCTGAGTTTATGCGCCCGGAATTCGTCTGGTTACGGCAAAGCGGAGGTAAAGTTACGCTCGTGGACAAACCGGAAGCGGCATCAGCGATGGCGACTGTGAGAGCGGACAATACCATGAGACTACAGCTGAGCACGCTAAAGCGCCCATACTCTTTTACACTGGCCAACAATTAACGCGATTGGAACGACGGGATCAGAAAACCATAAACTGACTCAGATCAGTTAAATACACTTCGAACTACGCACCATTAGATAGAAAATATGATTTACTAGCGCTTTAGATGCATACATAGCTAAAAAGTATGAAGTTTTAACGATAAAATGTTTGAAGTGTCCAAACGCCGGATAAGTAGATGTTAAGGTTGAGTCGCGATTAACTGACAACGATCAGCAAGCCCGGAACAGCCATCATGATCCCACGTGATTTAGTTGACACTCTTTCATCAGCCCACATGCTGTTTTGACGATTTTGGGTTGTGATTTATGACTTTGATTTTTCTTAATTTCGAAAATCCATGAAACACTGTTTCTGCTTCTGTTTTCTATTAACGTGAGGCAAAATCTCGTTTCAGATGGTGTTTAGTATACTCGCAATGATTGGAGGAATGCTCAAATCCGGAACATTGACGGATTTTGAGCCGTACGAAACGTATCCTAGTATTTATAATCTCCCATTTTTGCGGTCCTTCATTGAGCCATTTGTAGAGAACAAATTAGGCAAGTCGACTGCTTCATTCAATTGCATTTATTTTCTTGCATTTTTTTGAGTGAAAAAGTAATTGGATTGCGTATACGGTTGTCAGAAACCCTTGGTTCGGACCTGGTTTCCAAAGGCATGACCGGCCTCTTCCTCTCCCTATTTGGCTGGATTGCATCCGGCTTTCCCTATGGTATACTACTGGACATTGTGAGTAACACAGTATAATACATGCTATATAAAGATAAATAATATAAAGATTATAATGTCTACGAACACGCCTACCTAGATTCTAAATTTAGCAACATTGCCTATTTTACGTATGTAAGCATGTGTCGAAAATGAATCTCGCTCCAAATGCCTCCGGTTAATTCCAGTTTATTAGGTGGAAATTCAGGTTTGTGCCTCCAAATCACACACTTCTTACGATAAACCGAAATATATCTAAGAACGCAGGAAACAAAATATTAAGCATGTTCCAAGAAAATCTCAAAACCTTACAGAAAGATAAACGCTTCCAAATGTTATCAGCGTCCGTAGTATGTGTACATTTTTAGTGCATAGTATAGTAGTCTGTCTAAACAGGCCCCTGAAAGGATCCGTGCGGTAGATGCGTTGGACTAACACCGGGACTAGATCGGAGTCCGGAAGGCGCTGTCGGGAACCTGCACCATAACCAAAGTCAACACTGAGGTCTGGCGACAGAGCCAGTTGTGGGCTCACGCCGCACTAATCGTGATGCGCACTGCCTACCCATTCTGGTTGTTGTTTAAAATCTCAATCCAGTTTTGTTGGGAACCAAGGGTTGTGCTTGAACTCCGTGCCAGCCAACTGCATCCTACCCTGCCTCTGGTCACTTCAACTTGATCTTGACACCGGATCCGGGTGGGAAAGGAGGGAGTGGTGCGGTAGATGCTATTCAAACCCTTTTTTACTATAACCTAATTTACGTGCAGGTCGCCGTGCCTGTTCTTAACCTGCAGTGGAGCAGACGGTCGACACTATCGAAATCGACGGTCGAATTATGGTAGGCAAATCGTGGACACAATCCACTTACTCACCCTATTCACCGCAAGTAATTAAGAGTCAAAGCTTACGGTAGTTTTCACCACACAATCGGGGGCAATCACAATGACTAATGCGGAATTGCGTTGCTAACCCGAAGGCCCGTGTTACAATCCCAAGATTTGGTTTGTAAATTATCCTAATGGAAGGACTGTAAATGATTTAAAATGGACAGTAGGTAAGTATCATGGTTATCCGAAGAAAACAAGTGTGTCTGGACCTCGCCACTGGCCGAAATCCATTATTACGTTTTTTAAAACTCTATTGTGTCGAGATCGCTCACCTCCACTGCAGGAGATATGACCGCGTGAAACATTCGCCTCACTCCAGCTAGTGCATCGCAAATCGCTAGACACCGATCTTTGGGTAATGCAACGCACATCATTAGGCCCAACCAGTCTTGACCTAACTCCGACTAACATGTAGAAGGCTCTCTTGGACGGGACATAACACCATCAGTACACGCAGTGGCGTCGCCAGGGGCCGCTGCTGCCCGACAGAGTAGCTACCGGTTCTGCTGTCGAGACCTATTGGTACATCCACGGTCAAGTCGTTTCAGGCCGGTGACCCCGACGTACTCCGAATGGGCTATCTCCGATCTGGATCCACATCCGCTACTGTGGCGCAGTACGGTTTCGATGGCGTCAGCGCCAACAACATGTAACGGCACTGGCCGCGGGTATAATTTGTGTTATAATCATCAAGACGAATCCTTATAAGCGGGATAAGACATGTGGGCAATGACATGAATAAAAGCCGGTCCAGATGCTTAGTACATCCAACGTGTAAAATGTTAACTTAAAAAGCACTGTTTTCAATACTCAGACGTCGACGTCCTTACTTCTTCTCACTGTATTGCAGTATATAAAGCAACCACATATCTCATGATAAAAAATTCCTCTATGTCTCACAAAATTTAAAACAATTGTGCTTGTCCTTTGAAAACAAATTCGTTTATTGATAAAACTAAACGAACATAAGCATGAGGACAGAGGGAATCCTACTTAAGCCAGTCCGCTCCAAAATAGACACCATTAATTTGTTCCTTTCCTGCATGAGTTCAAATGTCATCAGAGAGTTAGAAGGGTTCTGTGGTAAGATGTGGTTTGGCAACCCTACCTGATGCACACAATCCTGTTGGGTTTGGGTTAGGAGTAAGGGTTAAAAGTCAGAGTTGGGGTTCAGGATTAGGGGTTAGAGTTAGAGGTTAGGCGTAGAGTCAAAGGTTAGCACAACTTTTTCTCTCCCATTCAAAGTCTAACTGCACATTCCCAATAGTTCTTCTTTTGCCTATAATTACTTGACCTCGTCGCCTGTACGTTACCGGGCCCCACCTGTAAAAAACCCTATTACCACCTGTCCCGTATTAGACGTGACTGGGGTTTGCTTACTTCAGGTGGGGCTACGAAGCCACATCGGACCGGTTCTGAAGCACTTCCACTGCTTTTTGGACCAAATTATTGGTACTACACGTAGGCACTTGCATCTGATAAAAGTAGACAGTTTGAAGTAGTAGCATTCGGGTAGTTGGACGCAGAATCTGTCCGCCCTGAATTCGATCTCCTTAAGTGATTCATGCTTGGCGTTTGAATTTCTTGGTTGCTGGTTATTTTTCATTGTGTTATCCATCGCGATGCCTCCAACCAGCAAGCTCTAAATTGCAGCCGAACTCGCCTGTGGAATAGACAGGAAGAGAAAACGTTTTACAACGATGTGAACAGAGTAAATGCCGTTTGTGCATGAAACGAAACATGCATTCGGTATGCTATTCGGTATTCTTATGCAGCCTCAAGTAGAGGTTAGTAAGCGGCAGGCCATACCCATAGTTTTATAGTAAAGAGGCAGAGTGGTATGAGTAAAGTATGCTAACTAACAATCGAACAGTAGCAAAAAAAGACGAAAATAGAAATACAGTCCAGAAAATTCCCATAGCAGTTATCAGAAGACGAGGAGGCAAGCATACGTAGCTTTCGATGAATTCTCGTCGGGACACTGCTACTATATGGGACGTAGTTAGATGTTAAAAAACGTCAGTAAAATCAGGGATGTCACACCCATAGTTTCACAGTGCCATTCTCAAAGGCTGTTCCGTCATCAATCAAGAAGATCAGATTAGAAGACAAGCATTCATGAGCGAAAATGGTCTGGCTTTTTCGGGATGCAAGCCTCTCCGGAAGAACGACTTTTCAGGAAACCTTTGGCATAATTGCAGCCACTGACATTCCTAATGCAATGCCGTTTGGTTTGGGTCAAAGATTCCTGTCTGGATAAACCGAAGAGATACATAGGTTCCTCAAGTCGATACCGTCTGAGCGTTCTTTCACATCGTGTTCGGTGGAGCTCTACTTCGTGTCTGATTACAAGAACAAGATTCGCAAAGTTCAGCAAGGAATTTTTAACCAGAAGGGCTCTTTTCTGATTGGACTGTCTGTGACTTTTCCTCCTTAACATTAAAAGATGAAACTGCAAGGGCGGAGTGAATTTTAATTGCATTGCACTCTTATCCTTCCGTATGCTTCTTGTTCTGCTTCATTACTCCTCCCAACAAGCACTTTCAGAATATTGGTGTTAACAAAATGAAACTAATATTTTTACGACGCTTAATAGTTTGGTGACATCAATGTGCGTATACAGTCGTCAAAAAATGCAGACATTGCGGATTTTTTATGGTATCTTAAGAATCCAGTAATTTGACTCACGAATTTGCATTCATGAAACAGTAATTTAGTTCTCATCTTTCGCGTAAAATTTATTTTAAAACGTTTGTGCACAAAAATAAGTGCATTTTGTACTGCATGATCTTTTGAAAGACGAATCTTATTTATTTTCTTCAAAACTAGAAAAGATCGAACTTAATGATGCAACCCTTTTATCCCATTATAGGCTGCCCTGTGGACTCTTGCTGTTATCGTAGCCAGCTGCTAAAGGACAGTCTTCCCTGGACGTCTCATGAAAAAAGCGCACATCTAACATGAACATCCTGGTTTACCGTAAAATAAAAAAATATATTTTCTTATTTAAAGTTCAAAATAAACGTCCTTTTCAGTGTCCATCAAAATTTTTGCTGGTTGATTGCCGGCGAGATCTTTGCCTTTTCAATTAGGCACTGACCAGATAAGGACGTTCTAGTGCAATACTCGCTCCCAGGTAAAATATACTGATTTGGCGGTCTCGTCACCTGAAGCGTCAATTTAACGGGCAACTGCACCAAAAAGTAAAGAACACCACTCACTGAATGAATTACCCGCACCTCAATCCACCATAAAGTATAAAAACCATGCCACCCTCTCCGATCTAGAAGCCAGTAGGGAGAAGAGAAGCAGATGAGGGAACTTTATTGATTTCAGAAGGCGAGAAAGTGATCACGGCTTGTGGCAAATCATAACCGCATTTTAATCCCTAGAGTCGACAAGTGAACAACATCCAATATTTGTTCTGAGCTTTCGAGCTCGTGCAGCAGCCCATCGTCGGAGTTAATAGCAGGATCAGAACAAACGACGGTTATAGGGCCAATCATCTTTAGCCAATCATCGACCGTTAGCCAATCAACTTTAGCCAATCATCGATCGACGGCGTACAACTGGAGGTGACTGTGCAGTGCTATGCACGCCAGCGCCAGATACATAAATCGATTGATGGAGTTCTCACTCGAGGCCCGGGTCAGTTTTATTTTCGGCATAAGTCATTTCTTTGTTGGCTGCGGCAGGCGATGTAATATCACAAACGGCTACCCAGACCTACGAAATGGGTCATGAATTTAACTTCGCAAATAGTCGCTCACGCCATAAACAAAACAGGCCGATAATTAATTGAAACCTGGGCCACGGATGAGAACTCAGTCAATCGATTTATTTATCTAGCGCCAGCGTGCAGAACATTGTTTGGTCACCTCTCTTCTTGCAACGTCGGTCGATGATTGGCTAACACGCCCTATAATTGTCGTTTGTTCTGATGCTGCTATTATCTCTGACGATGAACTCCTGTACGAGCTCGAAAGCTCAGAACAGTCAAAAAAATGCTCCGTTGCTCGACCAAACTTCGTCTTCACTTAGAGTTCAACAACTAAGGGTATTTAAAATCAGTAACATAAAGGTTACTATATAAGTAGCCAGTCTCTACTGAATGTAGATTTGCAGACGCCCGAAAAGAAGCCCGTCCAACATTCGGCACCTTGACGTGGCTGAAATATCCTGGGATTATTAAGCACGATACTGAATATTACAGCTGAAAACGCATTTCAACATTTGGGCTAACTTTTCATGAGCTAGACAATTTACTGTGGTTTGACAATCATTTCTAATTGAAAACATCGCCGGGGATTCCTGACGAATTTTCCAGGGCTTTGCAAAGCGTCGCTGGATTTCGGAACACAGGTTTATTAGGCTAAAGAGTTCACGCCGAACAATGTCAGTCCAAGAATTAGACAGGGCCGGGTCTGAATTATAATAGGTTGATATTGTAATACTATTTATGGTTGCATACGAAGGCAGACGTTGAAAGACAAATCATAATTGTTGGATAGAACAAATTAGTCGTCAGTCATTTGTATAAAAATCAGCTACTTGGACGGGAAAGTTTTCTCACAGAAGAAGGAGACTGAAATGTGTCACTGTGCTGCAGCGTGAATGAATTGCGGTTTAATTCCTTTTTGCATAAAAATATGAAGCTTAAAGGTGGACTGATGACAAATTTTCTTCATGAACCGAACAAACTCTCAGTTTCTTCAGATGTAAGTTCTTAAAGGAAAAACCCGGCATTCCCTCTCTCGGTTGTAATCCGCGTAGATTGATGGGGGTCACTCATGTAGAGTTTGATGTCAACATCTGAAGATCAGATGAGCGTGGGCCTACAGATCGACCAGCAGGTAGGGTTAGAAACGACCACTTCACATGAGGCCATTCCTGCCGTCCTTGGTAATTCACAATTATAGATTGATCTCTCACTGAATACTAGGAAAAGCTTTATGAATTGGCACCACAGATTAATCTCGGACGAAAAGATTACCAGCTTAAAAAGGAACCATGCTAAACAAATCAACGTTTCTCCCTTTTCTCCCAAGGTCATAGGCCAATGGAATTCATTACCATTATATGTTGTTAATTCTCCTACCATGAGTGAGTTCAAGAGACATCTGGATAATCAGCTGTCAAAAGGCAACCCGAGCTGCCCAAACCCGATCAAACGGATTGCTGAAATAACGTTCAACATACTACTAGAATAAATTCAACAGGCCGTTTTGTGCACATTAACCTTGACCTACATGACAATTTTCAGAGCGAATACAGTAAACGAGATTTTTCGCCGTTAGGTTGAAAACTCTACATGTCTTTTACTTTTATGCTCCAACATTATATTAATGTAATTTGCACACTTAAAGTACATGTAAAATGTTTGCAATTTGAAGATTTTCATTCACGCCTGTATCGTTGAATGTGGTTTTCGGTTTTTTTGTCACTTACTACAAGAATACTGATTGAACACTTTCTGTAACTGTAATCCATAATGAATGTCACAATTGCATGAATGGCGTGGCAACAGCGAGAAAGTCCTCCCCTTGCCAGCTGACTGTATGCGTCACGTGTGGATTAGTCCTATGTTTGGCAAAATTGAAACGACTATCATTATTTTGTTGCTCACTGACTGGCCACAGCTTGGGGGTGAGGTTCAATCGGGCGTACGCTTGCATTGCGCGCTTACAAAATGACAACAACTGCTGACTCGTGCAGTGCTGATTGAATTTTCTGCTGTGGACCGCCGCGTCCATTACTAACCGTAAAGTAGCGGCCACATACACGATCCCTACTCTCCAGTCATTTTCAAATTTGTCTACGTTTCCTCTTTTTGTTATGATATGAACCAAATTCACAAAAACAAACTTGCCTCAGGCGAATACGTAACCGTAATTTCAGTTGGCAGAAACAGTTTCTGATAAAAAAAGCCATGTTTGAGTTTGTGTGAATGTCAGAAGGCGATTAAGAATCTAGTATAGTTTGCCTAAGTGGCCAAAGAGTGGGCCATGTTTAGATGTTCTACTCTGGACCCGCCTATGATACCGGGCATGTGTTGAGTCCGCGCAGTCGCTATCTGTGATGCCGCCGTCTTACAATCTGCTCGACAGCGTATGCAAGCCACCCCTCCCCCGCGGTTTATCGATCGTGCGATTGCTGGCGGTTCTTTGCCGCCAACATCACAGACAAGCGCACACGAACTGCAAATCACTACCCGTGGCTTGAAGAGCCGACTGCACGAATCACCCAGAGTACGAACTAGCGTTATGTCAGACTCTCGCATTTTCGCCTTCATTATGTCTTTCCACGCCAACGGCTTTTCACACCACAAATATTTCTGGCAGACCTAAGGTATGTCCTGTTGCTAGTTTTTTTTATCAAGATGCATTGCGCATCCCAAATAATGTTTAATTTTTAACTTAATCCAACCTATCAGACTGCTTAATGCTTGCATGATCTCCTTTTAATGAGTTTCAGTTACCGCGTAAACGTATTTCAACTTGCTTGAGTTCTATACTGCTAAGGGATTTTCAACAATGCCGGTGTTGTGAAGAAGGTGGAATTAGTTTCATGACCACTGACGCATCAACCGCAGTATCTTGCTCGTGTAGACGATGTCCGACCGTCTAGATAAAAGTTCATACGTCTGTCTAACGGTAAATCTGATGAAATTAACTCCCCTTCCTTTAAGATTCCAAATTCCTCTCTCTCTCTCCGTCAAGTCGGGTATAGCCACTGACCACCACCATACTCAGGCAGAAGCTAGAGGTAGGTTGAGGAAGAATTGCATCGCGCACCGAATGAGCAATGGTATGTGGACGTATAGGGCAGGCCGGCTAGATCGTGTCCACAGCAGCCTTCGAGTTGTCTTGCCAGATTGAATGGCCGGCATTGACCGAAAACCATAGATTTCTTAGACAAGGTGGCATTGATGGTTCGCCCGCCGCGTGTGAAGTCTTCAGCCGTGTGCGCAGGACGAGGTTGTCGCTGGGTGGTACTTGCGCTTAAATTGCCTTATAGTGATGACGGACTTGGGCGAAGCGAGTTCCGGCAACTAGCCGACAAGAAGTTGCAGCAACCGCTGGGACAACAGTCTTATTCGTCTGACGTTCCGTATTCACTTTAAAACACATCATCAGAGACAGTATCTGATATGGTGATTTGTGCATAGGACGTTGTTGTATTCAAAGGATGCCGTCGCTATGTTACTGCATGCCTACGATAATTAACCGCCCAACCCTTCACCGAGGATTTTTGCCCGCTGGTGCGCCAATTGCTTGATGGACGGCATGCAAAATGTTAATGGTTGAAATTTCATCACTCGTATCGGATTTTGGTATGATGACTGCTCGGTCATCTGGCTCACCGGCTTGCGCGCCCCCCGAGTGGTCAATTACCTTAGCCAGCCTATGCCCCAGCGCGGAATATGAAGTGGGGATGTGGTTGCACTTGTTGATAGACTGAGGTCCCGTAAACCATAACTTAAGCAACTCGCGGCTCACACGATTATCCCCTCTCGCGAGAATTTCGGCCTCATCGAACTGGAATGTGTGGCCGGGTCTCGTCGAATGGGCCGCGACTTGAGATTTGGCGTCATGTATCCGCACTGGTGCCACGACCAAAGCAGTCTTCCAGTTTCTTTGATGTGTTTGCTCGCTCCGCAACCGCAACATATGCGGTCGTTTGTTGCCGTGGCAACGGTCTTTTGGTCGCATCACCTGACGCCTCATAGTTTCCCCCGGTCTGTGTGCAACTCTAACTCCAAGTGGTGCAAGAAGGCGTCTGACGGCATCGGAGACGTTCTTGATGTACGGGCTTGCTCGGCAGAATTTTGGGTCGGCACTATTTTTTCGCCTGTCTCGTTTGTGCATGCACCGATTGGCAAAGTTGCACGGGCAACCATTTTCTCTGAAAATT